TTCCAATAATTTTTTTTTACCGACTCAATAAAAATAATGAACCTAATGCAAGATGATCGTGGACAATCCATATTATTTTAAAATCTATTAGAATAATTTTTATTTTAGCAATATATGATTTGATTTCATGTAATCTTTTATTTTAGTTAGATTTTCTCTAGGATTTGATTTTGAGATCTCTTTCTAGTTTAGATAGGATTTTATTTGATTGCATTAGTTTTGTTAGGTTTTGATTTGATTAGGATTTTTATTTGCTTCATTAAGCCCCCGTTTGACTACGGTTTAAGACAGGGGTTAAGGAGGTTTAACCCCTCATTAACCCTCCAAACAATATTATTAATAAATAAATTAACAAACCCTTACAGACAGGTTAACTGAAAGTTAACCCGTGGTTGGGCGGGTTTAGTAACCCGCATGGAGAGGCAGAATAGAGATTGTTCCGCCTCCTCTATATGGGTATCTGCAGTAAAAAAATAGAAAAGAGGATCTTTAACAATAATCATGTAACTAATTTAGAATATAAGTGGATAGGAGTTTTTGGATAGAATAAAACTTATCTTAATATGCTTCCTGTGAATAATTACTTCTGTGCGATTCCATTTTTGGGATCTTTGCAATTAATTCATATTGCAAGTGTTACATATATAGATTGTGTCAAGATTCCTTCAAATGTGTGTTGTTTTCATCCCCATTTATTTGGCAAATGTACAATATGTAATTGTATTTGAAAAACTTTGTTAATTTAATACATGAATTCCAAATATATTGATCTAGGTGTATGAGTGTGACATATACATAGTCATATTTTTAATGATTCATTACTTTTGAAAATCTAGTATTTAGAATTTAATATTGACTAGAAATTTTATGTATACATTGTTCCATTGAAGTATTTTGTTGGTATCTGTTGAAAATTAATTGCAGAGATTTATGTGTGTGACTACGCTTGCTGAGATGTGGAGAATATTGATTAGATCAATAATTATGGATCCTCTAAATTTGAGTGCTTTATCAATTAAGTGCTCCTCATCTTATCGGAGATGATATTATACACAATGTTACATTAAACGCTGGGCGCTTCTAGGCGTCGGACTTGGCGCCCAGCGTTTAGTCGCCTAGGCGGGCGCCTAAGCGGTTTCTGGGCGTTTTTTTTTCTTTTTTTAATTTTTTAATTGTGATACTTAAAGATAAATATATATTTACTCAATCAAAAATGCATAAATACTAAAATACTAACACTATTAACTAAATTGTTTGGTTTACCAATTACAATAGCTCTTTGTATGTTTATACTCCTCAACTCAAATTATAAGTTTATCTCAACTCAAATTACAATATGTATTAAATTCATATAATTTTTTTTAAAAATAGTAATTTTAGTTCCACAATAAATCATGCATACTTAGATACTAAATAGCCAAAATAATAATTAACAAGGACAGAGCCTAAGATATATTTTTTTAATTTTTAATTCCAATAATTGATAGTGAATGTCTAGCTTACAGAAAGCTTAGATGTTGGATTGGTGTCTAGGCGGATTTCTTTCCTTATTTAAGTGGTGGTCGATGAGGTTTTGTTGAAGGTCGGAGGAGGTAGTGGAGATGTTCATATTTGGAGGTTAATGGAGTTTGGAGGACGTGTAGGCTACAACACATAAAATCACAACCAAGACCTACAGGGTGCAATCCACGTAAGCACGCAATGCTCCCCTAAACACTCGTAAAATCTAGGTGGGCAGCCTAAATAAGTTAGGCGGCCTAGGTGCCGCCTAGGCCTAGGCGAACGCCTAAGCGGACTAGGCGGAGGTTTTTTAAAACAGTGATTATACATGTTATTAGTTTGCAGTTTTTATTTTGAAAAACTAATTATTTGTAAATTGCCCTACTTTCTACAAGGTTAAAGATGGTATTTTTTTTAAAATAGAGGGATTAATCTCCTTAACCTTTTTTTTAATTTTCCAAACACAAAATTGTTAACCTTTATCTTAACTATCTAATTCAAATGGAAATTAATTATTTTTAACCCCTTTTGATGGGTTAACCAGGTTAATCCTTTTCACTAACCCTCTTCTCTTAATCCATGCCAAACAATACCTAAGTGTTTAGCTGCTTTCTTTTTCTAAATATGAGATGAAATCTTTCTTTTCTTAAGTAATAGACATTGATGATTAATAAAAATTTGAGTAATGATCTTGAGCATGTGGATTGCTGGTTTGGCATGTGAAGTATCTTTGGGATGTGAAGCCCTTGGGTGTGAGGCCCTAAGGTGTGAAAGCTAGTTATTATCAAAATCCTCTCTTTTCAATTATCATTCTTGATCATTCCCTCTAAAAAAATTAGCAATATCCAACTCAAAGCAAAGTACCCTAGCTAATAAACCCTAAAACCCCAAAATCAGAGTACTATTCACGGATTACACAATCATGCATTGTTTATCACGCGAACATTAACCTTCTTACTCTTTGTCATGGCTTACGCCATCGTTCCACCAAGCCGTCGATGATTTCTCGCTCCAAATAGAAGCACTCGCCCTGTTACCAACATTTGGTATCAGAGCCGAAGGATGCACAATTGTTAGGGGTAAAGTACCGATACCTCCTTCACAATAGTATGATTTCAATCCACTTAAATTCGGCGCTCTAGCCTACTTTTATGGATTTGATGGATGTGAGGAGACCTATGATTTTGAAATTTAGATTTGCAATATGGAAGATATATATTATATCTATGATATATTCGATTTGGAATTGTATTTATTACTGAGTGTTGGCTCAAGAGAAGCCAAAAAGTAGTGGTCTCCGATTGTCATTCAGGTATTCGTTCATGGGAATCTATGAAAGCTCTTACAGCAAGGAGGTATTCTTGTAGTCCATCTAGAAGATATTATTTCTCTTTAAAACCTTAACCAAAACCAACACGAGCGCCTCAACTCCAGCCAAATATGGCCTTCTAGTTGAAACTTGAATCCAATCCAGAGCCGAAGTCGAAACTTAAATCCAATCCAGAGCTAAAGTCTGGACTATAACGAGAAGCACCAAATAAGAAGATCGACTCAGAGCCAAAATTTGAGCTAGAAGAAGAATCAGAGCAAAATGTTAATTTAGATCCTGTCCGTGAGCGAGAGACACAACTTGAGCTTGAACTACAAGCTGAACCACATCAGAAAACTAATTTAAAGTTCGAGCCTGAGCTCAAACCTGAACAAGAGCCAGAACTTAAACTGGAACTAGAAGTTGAGCCGAATGTTGATCCAAATCCAAAGCTTGAATCAACTCCAAATCCTGTAACCAAGTCAAGCATAAAACCCGAATTTAAGATCGATATGCAATACAAACTCTCCACCCAGCTCACTCTAATTATTGAGTTCGTTATTCCAGACCCTCGACCACCAACTCAATTGAGTTTTACAACTCATCTTGAAGATCCTGGAATCTATGATGGAAATTTTTCTTACCAATCAAGTTAAACATTACACTTTCCCACTATAAAACTCGAGGTTGAGTTTTCTCTAACAAGGGGAGATATAATGTAGGACGATCATGGATAGTCCATCAGAGGATTTTAAGATCTATTAGAATAATTTTAATCTTAGTAATGTTTGATTTTATTTCACATAATCTTTTATTTTAGCTAGGATTTCTCTAGGATTTGATGTTGAGATCTCTTTCTAGTTTAGTTAGAATTTTATTTGATTGCATTAGTTTTGTTAGATTTTGATTTGATTGATATTTTTATTGGCTTTCTTAAGTATTTAGCTGTTTTCTTTTGCTATAAATAAGAGATGTAATCTTCTATGAGGAATAGATACCGATGATTAATGAAAATTGAGTTATGATCTTGAGCATGTGAGTTGCTTGTTTGGCATGTGACGTGTCTTTAGGGGGTGAGTCCTTGGTGTGAGGCCACTAGGTGTGAAGTCTAATTATTAACAAAATCTTCTCTTCTCAATTATTATTCTCAATCAATCCCTCCAAAAGAATTCGCAATGTCCAAATCAAGTCAATATACCGCAAGAAGCCCTAAAACACCAAAATCAGGGTACTGTTCAAGGACAAACAGTAAAAGTGTACCGTTCATCACTTGAATAGTACCTTATTGCTCTTCATCGTGAATTATGCCATCGTTCGGCCAAGCCTTGATGGTTTCTCACCTCCAGATAGAAGTCCTCGTGTAGGTGCCTAGGCGTGAGGCCCGCATTTATACCTTTTTCTTTACTAATGAGAACACAATTCTAATATTTGTGTGTTTTATTTTTTATCTAAATAATTAATCTCAACAAATCGTTATGCTTTTGTTCCCTATCAATTGGTGTTAAGCCAAAGGATCCATCTCCATCTTCTTCTCTCCATCAGAAAGAAAGACCCATTTCACAACCTTGAGCAGTCGTCAAAACCTGATCCATAGTCAAAGTACGATCCAAAGCTTTGTTTATGACACCCCAAGAAGCTTATGATTCATTCTTAGCATTTTTGACGAGGACGTCAAATTTAACGAGGAGGAGATTTGATCAGGACAAATTGAGATCTGATAAAAAATAATATGATGAAGATAGGATCTAATTTAGTTTAACTAGGATTAGATAAATTAGTTATGTCTTTATATGATTTGATATTTTTCCTTTGGTTAGGATCTTATCAGATGATTCCGATCTTCTTTAATTAGATGTTATTTAATGTTATATCTTATTTCGTTAGGATTTTTTTTTATCTTAGTTTTTCTATAAATAAGATTGTGTTTTTCATTTGGGAAGAAGTTGTGAGAAATTTGCATGTAAATTGCAGCTAGTATTAGACATGTTGGTTGGGGGCATTGGACCAAGAATTGTCCAAACAACCAACCTACCAACACAACTGATTTGTTAATGGTGTGGATTAGGTTAGATGATTCTGGATGTCCTAAGCACTTGAGATGTTGGCATATGAGGTGCCTGGGTGTGAGGCCAACATTTGTATCTTTTTCTTTTATACTTAGAACTTAATTATAATATATTTTGGGTTTCAGGAATGGAGCTGTGCAGAAGCAGGAAATGTCATGAGGAGATATTCTGTACCAGATTGGCCGTTGCTCGCCACTTGCCCTTTTTTTTGACTTTATTTAATTTTGGGTTTCAGGAATGGAGCTGTGCAGAAGCAGGAAATGTCATGAGGAGATATTCTGTACCAGATTGGCCGTTGCTCGCCACTTGCCTAATCAGTGAAGCTAGTCTCATGAAATCTTCAAGATGGAGTAGATATATCTCAGCCTTGCCTCGGCAACCTTACTCACTTTTATATTGGTAACCAAATTGTAGCCATCTTCTTTGAATTTGAAATTAAACGAGGACATTGAGTCATGAATGTGGCAGTAGTATTGAACTTTTCCTTTTCCCATCAAGGGTCTGCTCTCAGATTCTTCTCTACAGTCTTCATGTATCATTGCAGGACTCGCTCAGAATTAGACCAGTATCTAGCAGCTTCACAGATCAGAGAAAGAGCAATTGAAAGGATTACTGATGTAACTGGAACGTAATAAACACAATTCCTGAATTTCTTTTATTTTCATCGAAGTTTACAAGATTTTTATCTGTTTCTGTTTTGTATAAATTTTAGCTTCATTCACATTAATACATATGGTGGATTTCTATAGTTCCTCTTGAGTAAGCTTCCTAGTTTCAATTTGCTTGTAGGTACAATGATTTGAAGATAAAAATATTCTCCAAGTACCCTGAGTTGTTTCCTGAAGAGGTACTATTGTTGTTCTTGTTCTTCTTGCTGTTGATAGACTGAAACCTTATGAGGCCACTCCTATGTCAATTAAAATAACGTGTCCGAGATTTTGAGTTCTGAGACCAATTAATCCTATTGATCTTCAACTTTAATCTTCCAATTTTTTCACTTATGGTTTGAGGCCTCTTCAGCACTAAAGAAAAATAAAAGAAAAGAGATTGTATGTTTTCTTTCTGGTAGAAGATTGTACTCAGATGAAAAGTACTAGCAGTAACCTGTGTCCTATTTTCAGGTATTTAACATGGAGACTTTCAGATGGTCCTTTGGCATTCTCTTCTCTCGTTTGGTAAGTAAACA